TTTTTGTGCTTGGTCACTGGACTACTTGTCAGGTATAGAAAAACAACTTTTCACCAATTCCCCTGTACTTTCTTCCTGAATTCAGTGACTTTCTGTAAAGTGAATTCTGTAATTCCACTTTCTTCCATGATCAAGACAAAGGCTCACCTTGAAAGAAATACAAAACATACAGATATCAGATATAAGAAAACTTTGTCAAGAAAGGAGTAGAACAGATTATCTATGCTGAGACTGCCTGAAATTTTGGTACTGAGAGATATTTTGTCATCTATTTAGGACTATGTGGGAGGTCCCTAAATATGGACTCTTATTTATGGCATATTACCATAATGCCAGGGTTGTGAGGATTTTTCTCCTGGCCTTGTATATCTCTTGAATCAACATTTACAGATTTTTATTTCATTATCTGTAGTCTATGTGGTCAGCATGTTTGGCCCAAGGCAAAACATGATTAATATAAATTTGGTTGCAATAGTATACTATATACTTTATCAATAGGCCTACAAAAATAGTTTCTGACTTGAAATCTATTTTTACTTTATTTTCATTGTTGACACTATTACAAATGTCCCCATTTTCCCTTTTTCACTGCTTATACCCAGACCCGCCCTTATCCTTCCCTCTGGCCATCACCACACCAGTTTTCTGCGTCTATGGGTTATGCATATGTGTTCTTTGCTGGATCCCTTCCCCTTCTTTCATTTATTACCCACTCCCTGCTCCCTTCTGACCATCAATCTGTTCTGTGTATTTATGCCTCTGTTTCTATTTTGTTTTGCAGTTTACTTTTTTTAAAAAATTATTTTATTGTTGTTCAATTATAGTTGTCTGCATTTCTCCCCCACCACTCCCCCCCACCCCAGCCAAACCCACCTCCCTCCCTTGCTTCCACCCTCCCCCTTGGCTTTGTCCATGTGTCCTTCATAGTAGTTCCTGAAAACCCTTCCCACCATTGTCCCCTACCCCCCCACTGGCTACTGTTAGATTGTTCTTAATTTCAGTGTCTCTGGTTATATTTTGTTTGCTTTTTTCTTTTGTTGATTATGTTCCAGTTAAAGGTGAGATCAAATAGCATTTGTCTTTCACTGCCTGGCTTATTTCACTTAGCATAATGCTCTCCAGTTCCATCCACGCTGTCTCAAAGGGTAGGAGCTCCTGTTAATTAGATTCCACATATAAGTGAAATCTGTCTTGAAATTTCAGTTTCAAAACTTCAAATTAATTCTCAGCATTTATGAACTGTCAAAGCTGTGTAACTTGGGAAATTACTTAACAAATCTGAGCTTTGTTTTTCAACTATAAAATGGGAACCAATAGTACCTAAAACACAGGGTTATTTGGAAGAATAAATAATAAGATTAAAGATGTGAAACTGGTAGTACAGCTAGCACATTGCCAACTCACAGATGATAAAATATTCTCTTCTTCCACAACAAAAGTAATTTACTTAGAAAAGGATGAGTATAATTAGTGCTTTAAGTAGTAACTCCTCAAAGAAAAGAATTTAGGTAAACTGTTTTTGAAAATGTTTTTAATCTGTTAATTGAAGCACTATGATGTTTTATTGATGATGAAGTGTTAATTCTGTACAATTACATAACAAGGCATAAAGCACTTTGCAGATTATAGAGTGTTAAATAAATGCTAAACATGATTAAATCATGACCAATAAAAATTAAAACTATAGAAAATTCTTGGAAAGGTGAAACTCATGGTATTTATTTGTTTGTATTTTTTCATGTTTACTTAAGTCTCTTGCATCTTAAAATGTCATAAAGTATTTCTATTAATTTAGGAATTCAGATTCATGAATACTTAGTTGCAAATTAAGATTAGTTCACATGTACTTATAACTTTGTCCAAAATTTACTTTAAAATGATTTCACTGAATACCTGAACATCTTATCTTAAAAAGACACAGTTGAATATTTGTTCAACACTATTGTTTTATATTCAGCATTGCCTTGAAATGTCCTTTCATATTATTTAGGTTTTTATGTATCTTATTTGGAAAAATGTACTGTTTCCTTGAAGGTTATTAACTCATGAATCCTGTGGGGTAAATTGCAGATCTGATGGGGTAAATATGTTTACAAAAACTATATTAATGATAATCTATATTGTACCATGTCATATTTTATGTATAACACAACAAAGAAGCTAAGTTGAAAGAATAATTTTAGAATCATAAGGTAAACATTAAGTGATACCGAAACATATATTAAAAGGAAAATTATCTCCTCAAACTAATAATAAAAGCTCAAACCTTTTCTTCATTTCTGTTTTAATATTTTTTTACATTTCAGAATTACACTACTGAAAAAAGATAAAGAATCATTTTGGTCTGTCTGTATCCTTAATTTGAGTGGGCTTGACCCTTTTCTTTTTAAGTAGATCTAAGTAAGACAAAATGTCCACCTCTTTTGTGTGTACAGACAGAACCATAGAACTTAGCTTTTGAGCTTGTTGGTATTTGACCTTTCCTCTGTAGCTAAGAAAACAGTTTTGTCACCAATGATATAACTGCAAATAAACCATCCATTTGACAGATGTAATGCAGCTGGCCAGAAGGAAATGACTTTGGTGAGGATATTGTCTTAAAAGTAAAGAAACCGCCCTGGCTTGCATAGCTCAGTGGATTGAGCATGAGCTGTGAACTGAAGTGTTGCAGGTTCGATTCTCAGCCAGGGTACATGCCTGGGTTGCAGGCCATGACCCCCAGCAACCACACATTGATGTTTCTCTCCCTCCCTCTCTCTCTCTCTCTCTCTCTCTCTCTCTCTCTCTCTCTCTCTCTCTCTCTCTCTCTCTTCCTCCCTTCCCTCTCTAAAAATAAATAAATAAAATCTTAAAAAAAGTAAAGAAATCTGGGTTTAGATCCTAGCTTTATCATTAACTCACTGTGATACAAGAACCAAGTTCCTTCTCTCTTGCCTTCTTTATCTTTAAAATGAAAGCTTCGACTAAATAATCACTCATATCTCTTTCAGCTCTCATGTACTATTATTATTATTATTTAGCCAATTTGTAGTGGAATTTAACAATGTTGCTATAGGGGTGTTCCTTTGATTTTAATCAGGCTAATGTTCCTTGACCTAAATAGGAAAGATAAATGCAGTCTAGCTCAGGAAATTTCACCGTGGGGTGTTTTATTTCAAAATACATGATCATTGTCTCTTAAAGCATATTTGGAGGAAGCAGACAGGAAGAAAATGAAAATAGTAAAAAGTGAGCTTGTACAAAGCAGCAACATTTATGGGTTCTTAGAAATCTGAATATCATTATTTCTTTTACTTATTGAAATGCTGCTATTCTTAACAAGTTCAGTCCAAACACTCCTTCTCCTGGAAGGCTTGCCTGACTTCCTCCCTGAAATTTCACTTTTTATCCCAGTCCTCCAGGATCTCTGACTTCCTTTGTGAAATCTTGCAGCACTAGATATGACATGATTAGGAGGCCCTCACCACATACATGTTGCTTTATATTTGAGACAATTGCATAATGTCTTATCCACTTATCTAGCTTCTAAAAAGCTGCTGAGAGGTGACACCCTTTCTTTTACCATCAGCCCCCTCCCACAGTTTTTACCACATTCTCTCTTCCCCAGCTGTATTTGATTCACTTCTCTGCTTTTAGCAGTTATTCAATAGACATTTGCTGAATGGAGCTAAGGCTGTGTGAGGGGAAAGAACATCACAATAAACTCTAGATACACCAAAAGCAAGTAGGAAAAAATTCTTTAAATAAAGCATCACCCACATGTTCTGCCAGTACCGGGGATACAGAATGAAAAGACAAAGCTCAGGCAATGTAGTTTAAGTCTATTGTCAACATATCTGACCAAATGCAAATTAAGATTAATTTACATTTTCCCCCTATATTTTATCCCACTTACTCAGCACTGTTTTCACCATAACTAGAGTAATACAAAATTATTAAAGATTGCTTTGGAAGTTCAGTTTTCTTATCCTGCGAGCTCTTCAATTTTCCTTTATATCCTGCTCCTACTATCTACTCCCATCTTTCCAATTTTAATAAACCCAATCACACCAAGGTTTTCAAGTAAGTATATTTCTAGGAGCATCAGGATTTGAAAATCAAGACTTCAGGAAGAAGGGAATGCTTACCTCCAAATCACTGATGTTTCAGGTACTAGTGAAGGAAATATTTTGAGGCAGAGAGCCTTACAGGTGCTCTTTATAATACATCACAGAGATATGTCCTAGCATGAGGCTGGACCTACACTAACATACTTCTTTGTCCCATGACCTGTTTGAAAAATACTCTTGTTCTGATCTAGAAATACTAGTCTTGAGGATTGCTTCAGGTGCCTTCTGCTCATCTTGTAGCAGTGGTGGCGGGGTGTTAGGTGCCTAATAGAGTGTAGCGCTGGGCTCTGGGGCTCAGAGACTCCCTGGAACACCATCTTCAAGAGGCTGTGGCTATGGGTCTAAGCTACAGGAAACCAGCTCATTTTCACTCAATCCTCCCTAACCACTGAGAGGAAATGGGAGCTTACCTACACTTCCTTGTCACAGGGACTCTTAGGGGAAGGCAGAATGAGTGAACAGGAAGTGGGAGGTGAGTTTAGGTCTCCAAATTCCTCTAAAAAAAGTAGCTATTTATTTCAATATTATGAATTTGAAGATGTATGCATAAAAAATACCCTAGGCAGAAGTCTACCCTGTCTTGACTTCTTGTAGTGGGAACTACCTAAGGGATATCCTTAAATAAGGAATATCCAGTTTGCTACCTAAACAAAACAACTGAGGAGCTATGAGAAAGGATCACAGTGAAGATTGTAGTGGTCCACTAACTATGGAGGGGACCAGAGGGCACTTAGCTTAAACAAAGGGCTCCATAAATAAATATAGTCTGTGTATTATTACAAACTCAATGCTGAGTGCAACCACAGGATTGGAAGACAATATACTCTAGCCCTATAAATAGAAATGAGACTTTCCTTGCTAAGTGTGAAGATTTTCAGGCTCAATGTACAGCCCATAGTGTAGCCCTGCACCTTGCATCATTAATGAGAGAGAAAGAGAGAGAGAGAGAGAGAGAGAGAGAGAGAGCGAGAGCACGCTGCCCTCTGGAAAACGGAAATGTTCAGTGTGCACAGAGTGGCTTGCATATTTCACTCTGACATCTCACTACCATGTTTTTCAACATGGTAGTGATTAGGTAATGCTGATAATTTTATTTCTTTTTTTGCCTTTTGTTTTCTTTATTTTTCTTTTGGCTTCCTTTTTTGTTTTGTTTTGTTTTGTTTTACTCTTTCCTCACTTCCTCTTTCTCCCCCTTGTTCACTCCTTTCTTTCTCCCCCTTTCTCTCTCTCTCTTTCTTTTCTTTTCCCGATAGTAAAGGGGGATTAGATTGGTTGTTCTCAGAACAGGGAGCTGGAATTGATGTACAGATCAGTATCGTCCTTGTTGCAGTGGCTGTCAAATGAATTCTTTGGAGACCTATGGAGAAAACAGAAAGAAACTAAAACGGTAGGTTCTACTTTTCAAATGAATAATTAGCATTTTCTGTGCCTTTTACCCTTGATATCTGGAATTGGCTTCTTCACACCAGATTCTGGGTAACCTGTCAGATCTACGGGTGGTATGAATATAATGAACCTGGACCATCCCCATATGTCATTTCCTTGGTATTTGCACAAACAAAAATAATTATATGGTTGGTTGCCTGAGATGGGAGAGGGGAGGTAACTTTGAACTTGGAAAAATGTAAGTTTGATATGAAGAGGTTTTTTCATGATGTTTCACTCAATTCATATTAAATAAGATAGCCCTGTGAACATTTGTAATTTAACCAACTCTATTAAGTAGAGTTACTTGCATGAATATGTAAGATTTTTAGAAATCTACTCTTTGCTATAATTCTTTAAAATTAATATTTTTATTTTTGGGTGATTAAAATGGTTAAATTTATGTTGTGTTATTTTAAAATGAGCTCTGATTTAAAAAAATAAGAAAGCAGTAATATCTCAGGACCTTTATGAATATGAATGCATGTTCTTATCAGCTTGTATAACTTACACATTCTTACTGTAAAAGTGAATTGTAATTATTGTTAGCTATACAGAATCTGCTTTCAAAGAAAGAAATCCAGAAAAAAAATTTATATTGAGAGAGAGAGGAAAAAGAAAAACAACAGACACAGTTGCTCTATTTCTCATAGATAAGCTATATAAAAATAAATAATCAGTACATTAAAATCAACAATGAATAAAATGACATTAGGTTAAATTGACATTATTAGATACTTATAATTGATTTAGGTTACTTTAATAAAATGTAAGTGAAATTATTTCCTGATTTGCATATTGTTTTTCTTTTGTGCTCAAAGAAAAAATATTAAGGAAGTTTCCTCCTAACTTTTAACCCAATGATGAGGTTATCAGTGTCATGATAAGTATTAAAAGCAGCATTCAAAGGTTATAAAAAAGGAAGGGATGGATTTTCATGGTACAACATGACCAAGTATTAAATCTCAAATGATTCTCCTGCTCCTTTCTCTGTTGTCAATAGCGGTGTGCATGAACTTCATTTCATACTGCTCAAATCTTTGTAGGGAAGAAAAAGCTTATAATTTTATGCAGTTAGCAGAGTAACTATTTGTTAGAGAGCTTTGGTTCATTCAGCAAGGGGTATTTCTTTTCTGTAAATCTCAAATGTGGTGGCAAAAGCATCAATCTTACAGATAGTATTCAAGTTTTTAAGCCCAGGGAAAGATTCTGTCAGCCATACTAGCAAATATTTGGATTACATTAAAGCTGCCTTCGAAGAAGGTTGTGTAAGGGGGAGGGTATTTCTTTTAATTACAGAAAATGTTCTTTGCACTTGTGAACACATGCACTGCTTTGCCTTGCTAAGTGTTTACAGTAATATTTCTGTGAGGCAAGAATCATCTAGTATATTTATTCCATTGAAGCCAGTGTAATATGGTCCTGAATATTGTAAAGGTGAAAAAACACAAAGTAGGACATTGACTCCTCCAAAAACCTCACTGAATTTCCACCAAGAGACTCTTAGGAATGAACGAACTCAATTATCACCATTTGTACTAGGTAAGCTGAAATGCTTTTTGCTTTACTCTCATAGATACTTTTGGCACAATCAAATGCCCTGAACCAAAAAGGGAATTTAACTCCTTCTCTGACCACTACATATTGCTGTGAAAATGGACCACAAAATAGTCTTGTTTCCCTTGTCCATTAAAGTGACCACCCAAAAGTGTTCCTCTTGTGTCCCAGGTCTCAAGACTCAGTCTCCATAACCCTAGTCAGATAATAAAAAAAGATTAGAAACAGATTAAAATCCTGCCACTCCAGCAATGGCAAAAAGGGTCTGAGACTCTTTTATGCTTTGGGAAGTGACATAGATTGACAGTTTTCATTTTACAATTGGGAAAACTGAGGCTCAGGGTTGAAATGACTGGGCCAAGTACCTCTGTGAATCTGTGGCAGAGAAAAGGTTAGAACCTAGATATCTTGATGTCTCAGCCAGTGCTTATTTCTCTTTTTCTTATTGAATAACAATGCTTGAGGATTAAGGGATACATGCATTATTCATTGGGAAATGTTAAAAGATGTCATTTTGAAATTGCTCGAGAACCTCTCAGTACCAGGGGCATACTTTAGGCTGTTCCTAAGGGCCGCTGATACTGTAGCAAACTGTGATATGGAGGTTTTAGCACTATTTCCTTGGAAGAATAGGAGAGAATTATTCCTATTGTGCCCACAGAAAAAATCCCAAAATGCAAATTGATACACACTAAGTGCTGTAATACAACCATATTACATACTGGGTGCTGTAATTACACGGTAAGATTTTTTTTAGAGATACATTTAGTGGTTCTCAAATCCTCCTTAAATCTAAAGATGTGAATGTTAGTCAGGGGCAAATTCCTCACCACAGGCTGCGGGTCAACACTAGGTTTAGGTCATCTCTGAGCTGTTGATTTTCTCCCCCAAAGAACTTATGCCTTACTCTAAATTGAGTATCTTCCTAGTAATGACTCCAGAAAAAGCTTTAAAATATCTAATCAGCTGTAATAGCATAATCAATGAAATATAATTAAAAATAAATATCTAATAAGCTACAGAGAATTTAGGATTCACCAGGTTTTGGGAGCATATCTAATATTGGCTCTAACTTTGATTTTGGATTTCCTAATATTACTATTCTAACACAATAATGATTCTTATTTATTGTATACTTATGAAGTACTAAGCATTTGGCAAAATCTCTTATATTTTGACAATAGCTGTATTTAATTTCCTCATTTATAGGTAATAGATGAGGAAACCAATGTCAAGGAAATGAATAACTTTCCCAAAGTTGCACAACTGCCTTTGTTGACTTTGAAACCCAGTTCTGCTTGTTGCCAAAGCTCATTTCATCATGCTATGCTGTCTCAATATCGTACAGTCACGTTTCACTATTTTATCCTTTTCTTTTTTAGAATCAAGAGATTTTATAATAGAGGGAGTCAAAAGTGCACTTGTTTAAAAATAGGTTCTGTTTTTATTAGATTTAGTCTGGGTGACCTAGGAAATGAGAGGACAATAAAACACATACAACACCAGGTAAAAATATTTTAATTCTCTTTAACCAATATTTATAGTATTTTATTATTTTCTAGTACAGAATGGGTAATAGTAGGAATTATATAATGTATAGCCCCAGCCCTCATGGAGCTTATTTGCTTGGGGAGGACAAACTAGAACATATTAAATATGACTATAAAATAGGGATTTAGAAGAAGAATGTGACTTAATAATATATTTTGTCTTAGGGAGTCATGATCTTCATTTACAATAAGTTGATATGATGCAAAAAGGTCATGGCATTAGAGCTTTTGAAAAAAATTTATATTCCTAACCTAATATCTGTTATGCTATGATTAGAGCAAAGCTTCTGAATTCTACATGTAAGTCTATATGAGAGACTAGGAGAGAATATGTGATTTTAGATGAAAGTTAAAATCAACACAAGGAAATGGCTCCAAAAAATGTGTTCATAAAGACTCTCCTAAACAGGTATGAGGAAATAGATTTATGTTTATACTTATCAACTGGCCACCTACTGCACTCTACATTAGCTGTATGGCAACAGAATTGGAGGGGAAATTATGAGATCCTTCATATACAAAATTGCTGTTACACACCAAAGGTAAGAAGAGAGTAGAACTATATATTTGTGAGTCATTTTTTTCTCTAGGAACAACAACTCAGAGATATGGGATACCTGTCTCAGGTTCAGAGTACAATGCATGACTATGTTACAGAGATAATTAACTAGAATCTAACTCACACACTTAAGTTTAGCAGCTCAGTGTTATAACCATCTGACCCAACTAGCTACAGAAATCTGGGTTAAAAACTAAAACAAACACAAGAATAGGTTTTAGGATTGTCTCCTGATAATGTTAATTTTCCCCATGTCCTCCTGCTCTCTGCAATCTCCTGACCCCCTATCTATCTTCAGTGTCCAAGAGGAAATAAAGGCCCTTGGGACATCCATTTCTGAACTGTGTTTTAAATCATACTTTTAGCAGGCACCAGTCACAAGCTTGAGCTTCAATTTGTGCAAAAAGCACAAGTTGGGACTGGCTAGGGGCATAAACATGAACAAGGCAGTTAGCCTCCTCATTTTTCAGTTTCTCTAGTAGTGAAAGTGGTGTGATTGAGGGCATCTCTCTATCACCATGGAGGGCATGGATCACCATACTAATGCCTATTAGGTGCTTTGCATTCCTTTGGTCACAGTTCCTCTGTACAATTTGCAAAATGCCATGGGCAATTGCTTTTAAATCACACTGGGAAACTTAAGTTGCACCTGCCTCGCACTTGCCAGATTTCCTTCAGCACATTGAAGCATTATGCTTGGTTGAGCTTACAACTTAAATGCGTATAAGGAGCAGAATAGTTATAAGGCTTACAGCTGAGTACATGAGAAGAAGAAGTAGGAGTTTTATGGATTAGTGAAATCACTGCCTTTAGAAATGCCAGATGGACTGTCCCAGCCACATTAAGGTTTGTATCTTAAATATATGGCAGCTTTTTATAGAACTTAGCATTTGACTTACTCAGTTTAGCAATTGATTTTACTCATTTCTCTCTTGCCTTTATGTTGTATCACTGCTGCTAGTCTACAGGTTTTCAAGGAGAGAGGCCATGTCTCCTCTCTTTTTATCTGCAGTGACATCCAGCATAGTGACTTGATTTACAACAAGGTATTACTCATCTCATCATTTCATTTTTCCTCCTAGATTGATAGTTTACAAAACTGTAGCAGAGGAAAGGGGCTAGAGAGGAAAAAGAACATTTGTCCCATTTTGGTTATTTTCTCCCAGTCTTGCATGGCAGTGGAAATGAATTTCTGTGTGTCTGTGTTTCTATATGTAAGGGAGGGTGGTGAGGAAGAGAGGTGGGAAAGAGGCAAAATAGGTGTTGATTTTTTCTGCACATAGTAAAAACACTGGCCTCCATGCCATTGCAGAAAGAAAATGAAGGACACTTGTTTCCAGGTATTTGTATACTGATGTTTTAGAAATTTCACAGAATTTTGTAGCATAAATAAAGCTTATATCCAAATGATATTACTATAGATTGGAAAGAGAATTATCCACATACATATTAGAGAATATGTACTTGGGAGGATGTGTGATGTGGACAAAGGAACACAAGGCTTTTGAATTAAAACTTAGATTCTAGTCCTCCCTCTGACATTAATTGATATGTAGCTCAGGATGAATTCCTTCCTTTCTCAAGGCCTCAGTTATGTTCTTTGCAAAAACCAAAGATCAAAAGAGATTAATAGATTATTAATAATGATTTAATAAATATTGCCCTGGCTGGTGTGGCTCAGTGGATTGAGTGCTGACCTACAAACCGAAGGGATCCTGGCTTGATTCCCAGTCAGGGCATGTGCCTCGGTTGTGGGCGAGGTCCCTAGTAGGGGGCACTTGAGAGGCAACCACACATTGATGTTTCTTCCCATTTCTTTCTCCCTCCGTTCCCTTCTCTAAACATAAATAACATCTTTAAAAAAGATTTAATAAATATTAATGAAGTCTAATATTTGTTTAAATGCTCAATCAGTTCTGCCAGCAATTGAAACATTATTAAAAAAGCTCATTGAATCATTGACAACTTTGGGCTCACCTATGAAAATAGCATTTCATCCCACATGCTCACTAGGTATGCTCTAAATGAACTTGTTGATGTGTAGGTCGCTGAGCAGGCTTCAGGGTATGATATGAGATATCCAACCTGTTTATAACATCTCCCTCACTCTCCTCCCAAATCACTGTGATCCTTTTTGCTTGGGTCTGCAATGGTTCCCATTATTTCTTAAAATAAGGCTTTTGGGAAAATGTCTACATATATCTTTGAAGGCCTCGGCTAATACTTTCCACTTCTCTGTCAGTAATGCATTGGCATAAATGAACTTATTAAATCTCAGTGGTTTTGAGCTTAAAAGTAGACATATTGGCCCAAAGGACTGTTTTAATGGGTACATGACAGGACCAAATCTGTACCAACCAGGAAAGTCTTCCTGAGACTGTGGGTCTTGGACTGGATATTAAGACTAGGCATTTCGGGTCATGATATGAGAATTCTTTATCAGACCTGAGATGATAAAGCATTGGAAAGGAAAGATACATATTTCTTTATATCTTTTTCAAATTTTATCTAGAATCATGCCAATTTACTAGTTCAAACTTTCTACTAGACTTAGACTATTAAAACTCAAAGGAACCTGAGGGATAACTTAGTCCAACTTCATTTTGCAGATGGAGACTGAGGCCCAGAGATAGAAGGGACTTTCCCCAGGTAATACTACTAATTAGTGATAAGGCTAAGACTAGAAGCTTATGTTTTTGACCAGTGCTTTTTCCTCTATACCCTGCTTTCTACCAAGAGACCTGTGTTGGGAATTGAAAACAAAAACAAAAACAAAAAACACAAGTAAAACACAATGGCTTTAGTGAATGTATCAGCTGTTCTGAAAGAAGTTGGTAAAGTGACCCCTAAATCAAACCTCATTGTTTGAACTTGCCTGACTCCTATCCATGAAATATAATAAATAAAATGACTTATAGATTGTTGAAAGGACTAGCTTGAGGCAAATTGGTTTAGATGACAACTATTATGTTGGTTGCTTGTCTTCTATTTTATTTGCCGCCTTCTCTCCTTTCTAGAACCCCCTGCCAACACTTATGATGAAATCTGGCTTTTCAGGTAATCTTACTATGTTGCACCACTTATGACTGTCCCCCTCAAGGTTCCTGTACTTCCCTTATTTTACCAAGTAAGATGTATCTTTCTTTGTATTTCATCCCACCCTCTTTCTATAGTGAGAACTAGCTATGTAATGGATTACATTTAATGGGTTAATGTAAAAATCTTCCTTGTAGTGTTCTTAATTTTATTAGAAGATTCTTGGAGACAAAGTTCCTTACAGTATTGTATTTATAATGGAATATTTCAGGAAAGGTGGCAAGCCTGTACAAGAGATCATTGGGTAGAGTGATGCAGAGAAGAGTGAGATGTGGTTTTTTGATGCCCCTAAGTCACCCCGCATAGGAAGCCATCTACAAGCATTACAAGGGTACCTATACAGCAGTTTTGTGTAGAAGATAATATACCTCTTAGCACCAGCTTTGCTGACAGCCAGTGGCCAGTTGGGTCTCCATCCATGTATATTCACTAACCCATGAAACAGTTGCAGTTGTGAGAACTCAGAAGAGATCCCCAACTGAGAAAAAGACAATTTCTACCCTCCAGCTGTGCTGTGAATTTGATTAGAATTGTGGAATTTTTCTGAGATATCCCATCATAGTTAAGAGCTGCTGGTGACCAGGGGATGACTTGTGAACCCTACCACTGATATTTCTACCTTCTCACCCTTTCCAAAGTCTAACAAGTCAAAAAGAAATGTCAAGTGGTAAAGGAGTTCCCATTAATCCTACTTTGCTACTACTAAGGGCTAAGTGTAACTCTCTCCATACTCTCTTTTGCTCATGGTATTACATTTGGGAGATCTCAGCTTCCACCTGTTGCAATTTCCCAGCCCTCTGTAAAAATCTCCTTCAAGATTCAATTGGTCAAACTGACAGTGACCAGAGGGGAGGGGGGAATAAAGGGGGAAAAAGGGGAAGGGTCATCAAGGAACATGTATAGAGGACCCATGGGCACAGACAACAGGGTGGGGATTGACTGTGGGAGCAGGAGGGGTGGGCAGGGCAGGGGAGACCAACAGGGGGAAATTTGGGACAGCTGAAATTTAGCAACAATAAAAAAAGATTCAATTGGTCACTGTTCTTTTACTGTATGTTCTTTCAGGCATGAATAAATTGATCCAGCCAGATTCCCCATGGCTTCCTCAAGAAACCCTATTGCTCTGATTAAGGAATTCTACCAGCACTGGAGAAAACAGTTAAGTAGTCAAATATATGTTCTTGACCTGTGTTTTGGTATCATCCCCGAAAGGGTGCTGTTTCACTCTGTGGGCCCTGGGCAAGTACTAAGAGCCATCACTGGCTATTAGTCACACATTTGCTTGTCCACTTGATGAATTACCAGGTAATGGCCAGGTTTTCACAGTCTATTAGTATCATCCTATAGATGAAAGCCTGTTATTTCTGGAATATTTGATAGAATGTGGTATTTAATACTGTCCTGTGAGTCATATTAGAGCCTGAGGGAAAAGGAAAAATTAGTCATACTGATCTTATCTTTATTTACTGTTTTGATATTATGGTTATCATAGATTTGCATTAATTTTGACCTTTAAAAAATATTGCACTAAAATATTTGTATCTTTATTACTGAGTTCTTTGGCAACTCCTTAAATTTTGTGTGACTCGCCTCACCCTAATTCTTTATTCCCATTTGAAAGTAGGTCTACATTAGAAATTATACAGTGATTTCAATGCTTAACTTTATATATAAATATAAATATAAATGTACATATATTACATATACTACACACACACATATACACACACACAAATACACACACATATTGGCCACTTTGGTCATACAGTAGAGAATAACATGTGTGTTTGTGTGTGTGTTGAGGAAGGGGATGCCATTTAGGCAAGTGTTTACTGATTAGTAAGCTAAAAAGTCAATGAGTCTTAGGTTAAGGACAGATTTGAAGGATGTAGATTTTGGAGAAGGAGAATTGTTTGTTATGTTTGCTTTTGGTTCCTTTGTATGGGTGCCTATACTTAGAAGAAGTGTATTATCATTGCACCAACCTAGATATCTAACCACTGAATGGGGGCATGTCTAATATTTAAGCTTAGTTTAAAAGATCATGAGCAAAATGACTGCATAGATTACTTAAACATGAAGAAGATAGTCACATTCAGATAAATCCCTAACCAGGAGATCAGGGTTTCAACAATACACTTCTTTATAGTGCAATGCTCTGTATGTGAATACAGAGTGCTCATGTTTAAATTAAGTATTTAGTATAAGGGTTTATGCATATCTGGAAGCCAAATTTAAGTCACTCCATCCTTTCTTTCTGTTTGCATTTTCTCATAAAAATGAAAAGAGCCTCTCTTCAAGACCACTTGAGATATTTCCCCCCTGATGTAATCAGGATGAGTATAGTTGGAGAGCTCAGTGAAACAAGGAGAAAAAAAATAAGGCACCTGTCCAGAACATGTTATGCTTGCAACAGTCATGAATTAGTGATTAATAATAGATGGAGTAGACTACAGAGCTAAAGACATACTTCTATTGTCAAAAGTAATTATAGGTTGGCTCAAATAAAGTACTATACCTCCCTTGGAGGTATTAACATATGGAAGTGCTGATTGAGCCTGAATTTCTGTTGTGATATGAAATTCAAATTAATTGGGGGAAATTGAAATGCATTTGAATTTATCAATAGCTATGAAAGTCCCTAATCAAGATACAACCTCAGAATTAAAAGAAAGAGAAATATACTTCTAGTACTACTATCGAACAAACAAAAAAGCAAAGCAAAACAAAACAATAAAAACATTTTATTAATAAAAATGTAAATATACCTCTATAATTTGTTTAAATGATTTTGTCCAGGAAACATTAGCTGGCAATCGCTTTTTGGCCACAGCATTTATGTATGCATATAATATATGTAATAAAACATTTTAAACATATAATAAACAAATATAGTAAATAATTTTTTAAACATATAAACAATTAAAAAGTTTTAAAAACAAAAATAATAAAATTTCAACTCATTGATGGATTCCAGAAAGATAATGTGTTTGTGTATGTGTTTTATGTTGCTTTGTGTTTCTTGGGTGATTTTTCCGAGATGTAGAGGTTCCAAGTAAAGAATACTATTCATTCTCTCAGGAGAAGAAGACTGTTTTAGTGATGAATAACTTGATGAGATATGTAGGATATGTTGATGGCATAGTTGGAGCAGTTGTGAGAGTTATTAAGGAAGTCAGACAGAGCTAGAACTAAGGTAAAAATAATGTAGATAAGAACAATGTACAGGAAAGATCATATGAAACAAGTAACAGCCTGCATAGGAGGCAGAGAAGAGAAGCAGGGGCAGGGGAATTAAAGAAGATTTTAAATTGGAAAGTTTAACTTATTAGTGATATCAGTGATATTCTCAATATTGGGAAAGACAGGGAAAGAAGAGCATTCTCAGTTTTAGATAAATTTACCTTTAAGAATGCTAGTCATTTGTTTTAATCTTCTTATAATCCCACCTTTGATGCCTTCTCCAAATGACTGATAGATGGATAGATAGATTATAGATAGATAAGAGGTCAATCATACAACAAATAATAAAGAGCATTAACAACATTAATGGCCATCTTAAAAAAAATACCCAGATTTCACATATCATCAATTACTGTGTTACTGACATCTACCATTGAAATAATTGGCTCTGCCAACTGTCAAAGAGTTATTTCTCCAATCTCTTTGTATCTGACATGTACTTAAGTTGGTAAATACAAGGGGTGGGGAGCATCTAAATTTGAACCTTTTGCCATCTCTTTGAGCAAAATGTCATTGTTATAACACTTGATAAAATGTCTAAGAAAACAAGAAGAAAATGCAATGAACTCAATGTAACTGAATTTTGAGAAGTGGCTAGTCATTTAGTTATTCCAGTGAAATAAAGAGCCATCAAAATCTAAGCAAATATTGCTGATAATTCCATTTTTATCCAGCTGTGTAATATCCGCTGGAATATTACTTAGGCATTAAAAAAGAATGAAAACTTGTAATTTGCCACAACATGGATGGACCTAGAGGGTATTATGATAAGTGAAATAGTCAGACAAAGAAAGACAAATACCATATGATGTAAGAAATGCCTTATATGGAATCTAAGAAACAAAATAAATGAACAACCAGAACAGAAATAAACTCATAGTTACAGAGGACAAATTGATGGTCACCAGATAAGAGAGTAGTTGGAGAGATGGCCAAAAAAGGTAAAAGGGATTAAGAAGAACAAATTGCCAGTTAAAAATAGTCATAGGGATTGAAAATACAGCATAAGAAATATATTCAATAATATTGTCATAATTATATATGGTGCCAGACAGGTACTAAATTTATCATGGTGATCAGTTTCAAAGGTACATCAATGTCTAAAACTAATACAATAGTATATGTCAAGTATAATTGAAAAACAAATGAAAAAATAATAGTGCTGTTCTCTCAAAAAAATCTTGTTATATATTGTCACCAGTTTGGGATTAAAATCACCTTTTATTTCTTTAGCTTTTTACAAAATTCATTTAAGGGAAAGGAATTAGAAATGAGTAAATAATAAGCTTATGCCTAAATTATGCCTAGACTTACCCTAGGCCAAATTAATCCCCTAGGTTTAAAAACATTCAGAAGTCCAGCTTTGCTCTCTGTGTAGATAATGACATAGAGAGGTAAGCTCTTGTACTGTATCAGAAGTAAAAGTGCACAAACCAGCAGGTAAATTTAATTATATAGATAATCTTTTTACAACTGCAGGTTTGGGGGACAAGTGCCTGTTTAACATATTTTTGGGTACTTTCTCACTCCCCTGACTATGGTGGGGGAAGGACTTGTCATTTCCTGCCATAAGAAGGCAGCAAGCTGTGGTAGAGAAATTAAAAATAGCACCACATTGCCACAAAGAATTGTGCTGTCCTCCATTTTGGTGTGTGTATGTGTGGTGAGAAGGTGATATGCTTTAAAACTGACCTTCATTTGTACTTCTTTTCATCACAATACAATGTGGCTGCTTAAATGTATATTCCCAACAGTTCGGATTTCTTTTAAAAAGGCAAGGAGTGTGTGTTTGAGTCTTGTACTATGCCTTAGATCATTGACTGAGGATAAATATGGGAAATTTGTAGTTGGGTAATTTTTTAAATGGCAAATGGACATTAAGCTTGTGGGGACCACTGTTACCGTGAAGGATGTGTTTTCTCTTTGATTGTTTCTGAAATTTCTTTGATTTTATTCCCAAGCACTTTAAGTGAATATGCGGTGGTTATTTTGGGAAAACCATGGAGGAAATCTTAATTAGTTCAATGGGATGGTATTCAGAGCACTTATTTTATTCATTGGCAGATTACCAATAATGAAGAGGAAATTTTCTTGTTGAGAAAAAAGAATTTTATAAAGAAAAATATGTAATTCTTAGTAAATAAAAAGGAAATATTCTTCAAAAAGTGCCCTCTGTAATCTCCAAATGCTTTACAATGATGAATCTCAATGATTAAAACAATAGCTAGAAATTACTAAATATGTGTTTAGATTTTATAACTTGAAAAGTCTTTAAATGACATACTGCAAAAATTACGCATAACTAGATCATTTAGAAAATGGTTCTGAAAACATACTGGGACATTTGTACTATCTATTTAACAGATATTTCCTGCATGTCTGCTAATGAGTACTTATTTAGTACAGGTCTATGCTAAGTGTTGTGAGTGATACATGGATGATTAGGACAAAGTCCCTACTCTCAGGTAACTAATAATCTAGTGGAAATATACACAACTAATTACACCATTGGACAGGAAGATACACATCAGGCTACAATAGAGGTACAAGTAATATACTGTGGGAAGTCAAAGGAAAGAAAGGTAATTTCAATTTGAATGACTCAAGGAAGTCTTGGAGGAGGATATGAGATAATCCAAATTCTCCTTTATATCAAGGAGTTTCCTATGAAAGTGAGGAGGTGGGGATGGGGGAACAGAACATAAAAAACATTCAGACTAAAATAAAAGGCAGAAACATAAAAGCACATGATATATTCAAGAACAGCCTGGCATTGCAAAAGCCTAAGAGACTTTGGAGGGGTATAGGAGACCTGGCTAGAAAGAGAAAATAGAGGTTTGAATTTCAGATTTTTAGTCCATCACAATGTAGACACTCAGAGAATTTTGCACAAGTGCATGATATGCTTCAACCTA